CGGGAGGAGTGCGCCGAGGCGCGGAGCGCGGAGCGGAAGGCGGGCGGGCCCCGAGCGGAAGCGGGCCGGGCCCGGCGGCGGAGCGCGGCGCCGGCGGGGGCGGCCGGGCGCGGGCGGGCGATGGAAACGCACATCTCGTGCCTGTTCCCGGAGCTGCTGGCCATGATCTTCGGGTACCTGGAGGTGCGCGACAAGGGCCGCGCGGCGCAGGTGTGCACGGCCTGGCGGGACGCCGCCTACCACCGCTCCGTGTGGCGGGGCGTGGAGGCGAAGCTGCACCTGCGCCGCGCCAACCCCTCGCTCTTCCCCAGCCTGGCGGCGCGGGGCATCCGGCGGGTGCAGATCCTGTCGCTGCGGCGCAGCCTGAGCTACGTGATCCAGGGCATGGCGGACATCGAGAGCCTCAACCTCAGCGGCTGCTACAACCTCACCGACAACGGGCTGGGCCACGCCTTCGTGGCGGAGATCAGCTCCCTGCGCTCGCTCAACCTCAGCCTCTGCAAGCAGATCACGGACAGCAGCCTGGGCCGCATCGCCCAGTACCTGAAGGGGCTGGAGGTGCTGGAGCTGGGCGGCTGCAGCAACATCACCAACACCGGGCTGCTGCTCATCGCCTGGGGCCTGCAGCGCCTCAAGAGCCTCAACCTGCGCTCCTGCAGGCATCTCTCCGACGTGGGCATCGGGCACCTGGCGGGCATGACGCGCAGCGCCGCCGAGGGCTGCCTGGGTCTGGAGCAGCTCACGCTGCAGGACTGCCAGAAGCTCAGCGACCTCTCGCTCAAGCACCTGGCCCGCGGGCTGGGCCGCCTCCGCCAGCTCAACCTCAGCTTCTGCGGGGGCATCTCGGACGCGGGGCTGCTGCACCTGTCGCACATGAGCAGCCTGCGCAGCCTCAACCTGCGCTCCTGCGACAACATCAGCGACACGGGCATCATGCACCTGGCCATGGGCAGCCTGCGGCTCTCCGGCCTCGATGTCTCCTTCTGCGACAAAGTGGGGGACCAGAGCCTGGCCTACATCGCGCAGGGACTGGACGGGCTGCGCTCGCTCTCCCTCTGCTCCTGCCACATCAGTGACGAGGGCATCAACCGCATGGTGCGGCAGATGCACGGGCTGCGCACCCTCAACATCGGCCAGTGCGTCCGCATCACCGACAAGGGCCTGGAGCTCATCGCTGAACACCTCAGCCAGCTGACGGGCATCGACCTCTACGGCTGCACCCGCATCACCAAGCGGGGCCTGGAGCGCATCACCCAGCTGCCCTGCCTCAAGGTGCTCAACCTGGGACTGTGGGAAATGACTGAGAGCGAGAAGGTCAGGTGAGAGGAGGGGGTGCCCCGAGACCTCCGTCTCCTCCGGAGGAACTCACGGACTGAAGGACTGACTGACTGCTGCAACGGAGGAGAGGAGAGAGGGGCACGCGCACAGCCATGCTACCCACGCACCCTGGCACTGGAGGGAAGAACAGAGCGAGTATCCTTGACCCCTGTGTGCTGCCTGCCTGCCCTCGTTCTGGAGGAGAAGGAGGAAAGGGTGGGGTGGGGGGGCAGGAGGAAAGAGAGAAAACACCCACCCTTTTTCCAGGTCATGCCTCGAGCTCCACACAGGGGAAACAGAGCTCTCCGCATCCCTACCCCAGCATCCTCCCCCTTACAGAAGAGGTAGAAGCCCACACTTATGCACTGGGGCTAGAGACACCCCTCTTTATCCCCACTCCCCGATTCCATCCCCTCCTGCACTAAGGATGGATAAAGATCGAGACCCTTGCTCTGCCATGTATTGAGAATAGATTATTTTTGATTTATATAAAGGAGAGTAGGAATGGAAATGGGAACAAACAATTAGAACAGCAGGAAAGGCTTCCTAGCTACACTTATGTACCTGGCCACCCAGTCATCCTGCACTGGGCACAGACACAGCTTTTGGTTACAAAAAAAATAAAAGCCCTGAAAAACAAACCCTAACCATTCCACCTCTGCGCCTGCCCCTCCCCTGTCAGCTGGGAATTGTGACAGAAATACTGCTCCCTAGGTACATTGATTTTTTTTTTCTTTTTTTTTTTTTTAAAAGTCTGTTTTCAATCTCCAGTTCCGTGTTGCTCTCTGCTGTGGGTAGATACATACTCCCACTACTCCAGTTCTCCACTGCACTGAGAATAGGGACAGCTACAACCTCTCCTTTTGTCAGCACGTTTCCATGTCATCCTGCACTATAGCTAAAGGAAAAGCCCAGGCACTCTGTTCTTTCTCCCCATCTCCGTATTGGAGATGAAGATACCATTTCCTCCTACCCTGTTTCTGTAGAGCCTGGACGTGGACCCTGGTCTCTTAGACCTTCCTGTGCACGAGGGGCCACAGAGTTACTGAGAGACTCCCCTTCACCATTCTCTCCTTCTCCCCTCCCTCTTCTTGGCAACAGGGATAAACATATCCAACTATGTATCCATTCCTCTTGGATGGGGGCTGAGAGGGTACAAGGGTTGGCCAGCTCCCCTCGGCCTGGGGGACTTAAGGAAGAATCTCCAGCTTCATTTCTGCTTCATTTGAGATACTGTGACCTGTTTTTATTTTGAAATGCATAAAAAAAATTACTGCTACAAAAACAGCCTCTTACTCTCCCATCTATCCCTCGCTTATGTCCTGTAACTGGTCCCAGTTTTCCTCATTCATTCTCTTCTTTACAGTATTCATTTTCTTACACGGTTTTATTTTTAAAGACATTTGAAGTTGCTGTTCTTGTGGATTTTTAAGTACATTTTTTTTCTGCTGAATATATTCTATATATATAAATATATATATGATGTCTGGCTACCTCGTTTTTATTTGTTACTTTTTTTTTTTTTTTTTTTTTTTTTCCTCCTCAAAAGCCCTGGAATTCTTACAGGAAAGAGATTTTGAGACTGAAACATTTTTGTGCCTAGACTGGAATAATGCCCCTTCCTTGGGTTTGTTCTTCATTTTCTCTCCCTTTTCCCCCTCCCTCTTTTTTTTTTTTTTTTTCCTTTTAAAAAATCTTCGTTTGCTTTTGAGCTTACCCCGCTGTGTCCCACCTTCACATTCTGGTTGTGCCTCTCCCTCCCTCTTCGCTGGGGATTGGGGACCCAAACTGTGCTTCTGCATTTTGCCTCTTGTAGCACAAACGTGTAACGTGAGAATCCGTGCTGAGGATCGGGCTATTGCTACGACAGAAATGTGTAAAATGCAAGTCGGTTTTTTTACAAAATTATATAGAGATATATGCAAATCCTATCCCCTCCCCTCTCGAATCACCTACAAAAGGTCACTGTGCAAGGCTTCCTGTTTGTGGGCGAGGAGCGAGCAGCCTGCAGGCCCCGAGGCTGCAGCGCAAGGGGAGGAGACTGAAGTTCATCTGTCTTATCTCTGTTCTGTCAATAAAATGGAGCTGGTTCTTTAGATTTTTTTTTATTATTATTATTTTAAAGAGGAAGAGTTAAGGATTTTTTTTTTTTTTTAACAGAAAACTATCTTGGCTTTTTTGTTTTCTTTTTTTTTTTTTCTTTTTCCCTTTCTCACGTGTTCAATATCTCAAACCCTCCACAGTAACAGGCCAGACCACAGAGTTAACGCAAACCCAGAGACCCCTATGGATTAATTGTACTGTTTGTGAATTTGTATAAAAATAACAAAGATCCTCTTAAAACATTTTATATTCTTACAGTAAAAGGTTAAACTGATATTTATATAATAAAAGAGGAAATATGAAGTATGTTTTTGAAAAAAAAAAAAAAAAAAAGTATCTGTGTTGTCTGTGCTTCTTGATGAGAGGTGCCTGCCTGCCCTGGTGTGCTCGTGGTGCTGAGAGGTTCGGGCCGCTGCTGAGGGAAAAGAGGTAGGGTCTGATCCCTCAGTGCAGGATGCTGGGTAGCATCAGCATTAAAAGGTTCTAGGGAAGGTTTGGTCGCAGCAGCACCGGCTGCGGGAGCTCTCGGCATCAATGTTGAGAACTGGTGTTGAGATGCTCCTTGGTGTGAGGTGTCTGCTTCAGCTGGAGTTTGTTACCACGTGAATTTGGTATTTTGTGACAGGGGAAAGCTGACACTTGAAAGGGAGAGCATAAGGACCGATCTGCTCATTCTTCATAGTGCCAGGTAGATGGTAGAGGGGGTCTGTGCCTGACTTGAGGCCCACCCTCACCGCTCCCTGCAGAACACCCGTCAGATAAAAATGTTTCCCAGCAAAGCCGTGCAAGCACACGAGAACCTGGGACATCTGACATGGCTCCGCTGGTTTCCATTGCCCAAGCAAAGATGAAAGGAAAGAGGAAGTAAAGTGGGAACGTAAAAAAAAAAAAAAGTTTGAATAATTGAAGGTGTCCTTTGTACTATACCGTAATCTTTCTCTTTAATGTATGACTTTTAACCTGACAGGGTCCCTTTTAGACTTGCACGATGTGGGTTTTTTATTGTTGTTTGAGATGGAGCTTAAGCGGTGTTTATAGGGCATGAAACAAAGCTTTTCTCCCTCTAAGTCCTGCAGCAGGGCTTTCTCTCCCCCGCTGCCCCTTTCCTTTCTTAAAGGAGGGGTTGGGGTAGAGAGAATGCGAAATGGTGGAAGAAGCCAGAGCCATTGTTCAGGAAAGTTAAAAGAGGAGCTGTCCTTGCTTGCTTGTTCAGTCATGCATACTGAATCTCGCCGTGTGAGGGTCCCTATGGAAAGGAGGAGGGTGATTCTTCCCCTCTTTTTAACATTCCTCTCCAGGCCTGGCTGTATTTAAGCTGCTTTCCTCCATGCCGAGGAGGGAGGGGGATGGTCTGAAGTTCCTGTACATTTGCATTTTAAGCACTTCCAGCACTGAGCAGGCCACTTTGTTCCCTGTGCGCTATCCTGCTCGGGCACCGCGCTCACCGGGTGCTGCCCCTGGTGCTTGGCCGCCCAACCGAGGAGGTGTGGGGCCTGGCCCTGTGCTCACCTCTGCCTCCGCGATGCTTTTGGCTCAGGCTGGACAACACACGGCTCTTTGTTCCCAGCCCTAACCACCTCTCCCCTTTTATCTCGGTGCTGCATTTCAAAGGGGAAAATCACATTTCAAGAGGGCCGCAGTTGTGCATAACCTCATCCCCACCCCAAGGAAAAGGGCCGGCACCTTGAGACTGGGACTTTGGGGTTTGCGTTGTCTTCTTTCCCTCTCTAAGACTTCCACGCTTTCTGCTGAGAGTTCATCACAAAAGCTGCATTGTTCACACTGGGGAAAGCCACCACAATTGGATCTAATTGAGCCTGACACTATATCCATCTTCCTTTACTTGGAGGGAGGTGTGGGGTCTTTCTTTCCTGCATGAAGAAAAAGGTCTACAGTAACTTCCTGACTAAAAAGACAATGTACGAATGCTATAAGCGACAGGAATTCCAGATCAGGTTCCCGCTACCTCTGAAATGTAAGCGTTCCCAGGGTAGCCAGCAGTTCTAGTGAGGGATGGGGAATGATAGATCTCGCATGATAGATCCCCAAAAAGGGTTGTTTCCACTGGATTTGACTAAAAATGGTGTCTCCTTATTAAGGGCCATGTTTGAATGGGTAATAGTTGGATGTCTGTGTCTAAATGACTAGAATGTATGGGCTCTTGAGTTCTGTAATCAGGAATAGAACAGGATTTTTTTCCTAAACAACAACAAACCCCCAAAACACAAAACCAAAACAACCAAATACAAGAAAAAAAACCACCAAACTTCTCTGCCTACTAGAGGAAAAAAACAAAACAAAAACAAAGCCAAAACCATTGCCCCATGGCCCAGCATACTGTTTAAGTGGAAGCCAAGCCTAGACACTGCTGAAACCAAAGCACCCTGAGACACTACGGATTGTTCCCACTGCAGAAGCCAGTGCTCCTCACCGACTGCTGTGCTCTCGTGCCTGGGAACGACAGCTCCTTGGGCACAGCCTTACTGTACTGTGAAGCCAGAGCGGGAAGAATGCATGTTTTCACTAGTAAAGAGAAGGGTTTCTCCAAATAAATAATCCATTGCCAACAACCATAGACCAATTACCATATGACTCCTCAGGGTAACAAGAAAACTTAATTTTCGCTCTCCAGACGCTCTTGAATTTTTGAATATGACTCAGTTGGCAGCCAAGGTAGAAAGCCATAAAAGCACCGTTTGGAAGCGGGCTGGAAATATCCCGTCTGTGTCCCCACACTCCTCAGAGCACCACCAGAGCAGCGAGGGCTCTGCACTGCCTGCCCCAGCCCCTGAGTTCCAGCCCAGTGAAAGCATCACCAGCCTTGCTGGCTGAGGCAGTCCTTGCCCAGGACAGAGGAGCAGAGCAGGTGTGACACAAAGCGGGGATAAAGGGACAGGCAGCAGAAGATGGCAGCTCACAAGCTGCAGCGAAGCACCCGAGTGTGCAGGTCCCTGGCTGCTGCAGCAGCTGCGTCCCTGGCCAGAGCCAGTGGCTGGCTTCTCTCCCAACCAACCTCCAAAAGCACATGTGGGGAGGGAGAGATGGAAGGAAAGGGAGGCTCCACCTGGGTCCCACTGCCCTTGGACGAGCATGTGGGAGTCGCGTGGAGATTTATACATTTTATATGCTTCCACCCTGTGCTGTAGTTTTGTCTGAATCCATTAGTCACAGAGATTTTGGGGTCGTTTGTTTCCCTATTAATAAATCATGAGGGCCTAGGGACAGGTGTAATGCAAACTGCCTGGGTCCATGCTAGGACGAGGTTGTCCCCATGAAAATATAGCTACCGAACATGCCCTCTGATAAAGGAGAAGAGCCAAAATGAGAGCACGGTGGCCAACGCACCTGGACTTTTCAGATCCAAAGGCACAAGTCAGCACAGGCTGTCCTTAGCAGCTTAAACGTAGGTAGGTACCCCTGGGGTCTGGCAGCCTCGCTACATATGTGCACGGGCTGTTTCTAGCAAAGTGAATCCTTTGCCTTCTCTTTTTTGATCCTCTACCTAAAACCCCACTACTTCAGCCAGCAGTAATTTAAC